ACAATTATCTTATATTAGATAAAGGTGACAAAAACATGCATTGGAGAAAAGATAGCCTTCAACAAATGGTGCTAGGAAAACTGGAAATCCATATGCAACAAAATGAAATTAAACCCCTATCTTTCACCATGCACAAAACTCAACTCAAAGTGGATCAAGAACCTAGGAATTAAACCAGAGATTCTGTGTCTAATAGAAGAAAAAGTAGGCCCTAATCTTTATCCTGTGGGATTAGGCCCCAACTTCCTTAATAAGACTCCTATAGCACAAGAATTAAAACCAAGAATCAATAAATGGGATGGACTCAAAGTATAAAGTTTCTTCTCAGCAAAAGAAACAATCTGTGAGGTGAATAGAGAGCCTACATCTTGGGAGCAAATTTTTACCCCTCACACATCAGATACAGCACTAATCTCTAGGGTATATAAAAAACTCAAAAAGCTAAGCACCAAAAAAACCAAATAATCCAGTTAATAAATGGGCCAAGGACCTGAACAGACACTTCTCAGAAGAGGATATACAATCAATCAAGAAATATATGAAAAAATGATCATCATCTCTAGCAATTAGGGAAATGCGAATCAAAACTACTCTAAGATACCATCTCACTCCAGTCAGAATGGCAGCTATTATGAAGACAAACAATAATAAGGTTGGCAAGGATGTGGGGGAAAAGGCATACTCATACATTGCTGGTGGGACTGCAAATTGGTGAAGCCAATATGGAAAGCAGTATGGAGATTCCTTGGAAACTGGGAATGGAACCACCATTTGACCCAGCTATCCCTCTCCTCACACTATACTCAAAGGACTTAAAACCAGCATATTACAGGGACACAGCCACATCAATGTTTATAGCAGCACTATTGGGAACTATTGGGATTGGCTAACTTCACTTATCATTATCTTCTCCAATGCCATCCATTTACCTGCAAATGCCATGATTTTATTCTCTTTTACTGCTGAATAATATCTATTCATTATATATAAAATTCTTGAAATTTCTGAATGTGGAAGAGAAAGGCAGTGGAAATGGAGAACTGAGGAGGGTAGAAGTGGGGTATAGAAAAGGGCCTCCTAGCTGGGAAGGAGAGGAGCTGGAAATACAGAGTATGCTCCAAATGAGTGGGAACTGAAAGCAGAGGAGTAAAAGGGTCAGTTAATGACAATGAAGGACTGAAGCTGATGATCAGTCCCTTTTAAGAAACTTAATCCTTGTGTGGTGTCACCAATTACCATAGTAATTTACCTGCACAATGGCATGGTAAGAGCAGGCTCAGGTACCTGGTCAAATGAGAATGCCCAGATTCTTTCCCTCTAAGTGCTTCCCTCTAGTGTGGGGCCACTGTTGAGTCCTACTGAATCCCTGAGCCTTTCTGGTTAGCATCCAAGAAGCAGCTAAAACATTCCACCTAGTTCATTGTCAAAGACTGAGTGGCCTGCTATGTGATATATATATATATATATATATATATATATATATATATATATAAATAATCTAAAATAATCTTTCGTCTTAAGTGCCTATAATGCATTTCATCAAGTACATACAAATATAAATACTGGCCCCTGCTGAGTACTTGCTATCTGCCAAGACTATGCAAATGCTTTGTGGGGATTATCTCATTGAATCCTGCCAATAACACCATGGGATGGTAACGTGATTATATGCCCATTTCACTGAAGAAGAAAGTTAATTAACTGGCTCCACATCAGAAAATCTAGATTCAGATGCCAGAGTCTGTCTCCAGAAACTCTAAAYCAAAATGTTATGCTGGATAAATATTTTAATCATGAAGATAAAACACAATTGATCATAAACCGAGCATTTTAAGTTAACAAATTGGGAGCCTAAGATAAAAATTATATTTGAGTATGCATTCTATTCTTCCATTCTATAATCTGTCAGACATTTATCTGAAGAAAAAAAAAAAAAGCATTACCTGACAGAAGAACTGTTGCTGGGTTCCTGTTCCAGGTGTGTTACTGAAGGTGCTGGTAGATTTGGAAGAAGAAACTGGAAGACGATGAGACACGCTGACTGGTATTGGAGTCCTGTTTGGCTGGGTCAGTGGGTCTCCCGTAAAGTTTGATCCTGATGCACCAGATTGAACCACAGACCCAAGGCTAGGATGGGCAGTGTTGCCTGAACTAACAGCAGGGAACCGACTAGGTCCTGACATGCTTGTTGCAGAGGGCATGGTAGTGAAGCCTGGTCTTCCTTGGGAAACGCTGCTCTGCCCAGGTGACAGGTGTAATACAGTTGGTGATGCTTGTTGCAAGGGCATCTGCCCACCAACAATCTGAGGAGAGGCATGATTGACTATCACTGGACTTCCAGAGGTGGCGAATGTCTGCCCCGACACTAACTGAACGGCAGTATTCTGGTTGTTTATCATCTGTCCAGAATATGGTTGGTTGGTCCTGAGCATGTTGGAAGAATTCCTATTCAACATGACATGCTCCGAAGCCACTTGGCCAGAAATGAGCTGAGAAGGTTGAGTCTGAAGAAGTTGCCCATTAATGGTCTGGACATGGTGTACCGAGTTGGAACTGACGGAAAGGCTTGTAGGTATGAGGAACTGACTTTGGGGTGTATGAGGCTGGCCCATGGGGGAATGAATAACGATACTACCCCCAGTGCTGCTCACTGCCTGTGAGGTGACAGGCTTTCTTGTATTCTGTTGGTTGACAATGTTCACAGACATGTGTGGACCAACTACTGAGCCCTGGGGTGAGCTTGCAGAGGCAAAAGAGATCCCTTGTTGTACATGATGCTGCTGAATTCCCAAATTGTTCACATTGTATGTATTTTGCTGACCCATCTGGATAGGCTTTGGCTGTATATTAATTGGGACTTTATTTGAGTTTGGTGCAAGACCCCTTTGTATGATGATGTTATGCACAGGTAAAGATGTTTGAAAATTTGTGCTGTTAAATGGAACGGTAACAGGCTGTGCTACTGGACTGGAACTGGAGTTCCCAAACAAAGAGTTGCCATTAGGAGTCTGTCTATGAACCAGAAGCCCTCCACTCACATTTGATGGGGCTTGCTGTCCACTGCCCTTTAATATAATTTGAGATCCATCTAGATTATTAATAGTCATCATGGAAGGTTGATTACCAAATGACCCAATTAATTGTATTTGACCAGAACCACTAATCTGACTGCTATTTGACAAATGCTGGCTGGGAACACTGATCCCCACGTGTTGCATAAAGCCATGTTGCACACCTACTGTATTGCTTGCAAATGATGCACCAACAGGCACGTGAGTCACCCCTATAGGCTGCAGCGTCTGACCTGAGTAATTAGAAACATTAGAAGCCTGAGTAAAGGATGCTGATGAAGAAGGATGAAGCTGAGCTTGTGCAAACTGTTGGCTTGAACCTATACTGGCATCTAAATATGCCTCTTCTGCCAATGTCTGTTCAGTGATATTAGCCTCCTGCAAGGATTTCTGAAGAATGTCAAAAGGTTGGTCCTCACTGAGATCAGGAAGAGGAGAAGACTCAAGTTCATCTTCAAGAAACTGAAGGCTACTTGAAAGTGGCAGTCCATCACTGGACCCTTCTCCAAGCTGGTTGCTTACACCTTTGAGGGATGATTTAGGATCAGCATTCTGAAAAAATAAGAAGGTATTATATGGCATATCCAGCCTTTGAAAGAAATGCACAAAAATTAATCTCCCTTTTGAATACAAATAAAGCATAACAATCTATTTTTCAGGTGCAAGTCTTTAAACTACTCACTTTGTTTTCTAAACACTGTAAGTCTATACTTTCATTGCTCTGGTAAATTATTTTGTAGGGAACAGATAAACAACATGAGTGCTGAATAATACCTGTAGTTCAGCTCCATGATTTTGAGATACTGACATAGACTTTAGTTATTTTTATTTTTATTTTTTTGGAGCTGGGGATAGAACCCAGGCCTTGTGCATGCTAAGTACATGCTCTACCACTGAGCTACACTCCAAGCACCTAAGATTCTATTTTTTTAAAGTGGCTTCAGTGGCTGGGGTGTGGCTCAGTGGTAGAGCATTTATCTAGCATGTGTGAGGCACTAGGTTCCATTCTCAGCACCACATATAAATAAAGTAGCTTCCAGTCCAAGGGAGTGGGACTCAAATTTAGAGTTGTTATGTATTAGGAGACAGTTTTTCTTTCCAGTCCTTTGTACCCCAGAAGTCCAAGTGAAGGATGTTATTCTACAAGGGGTCTACAAGGTGTGCCAGCAAGAACAGTCCAGATAAAACAAGGTTCTAACAAAATGAGTCATTGACTTTTTTTTTCCTCCTTGATGGTACTGGTGATTGAACCCAGAGGCATTCTTCTACTGAACTGCATCCCTGACACTTTTTAAATTTTTGTTGAGATAGGTTTTCGAAGGCTATCCTCAAACTTGTGATCCTTCTACCTTAACCTCCTGAGCAGCTGGGATTACAGGTGTGCACCATACCTAGCCATTTAATTTCTTCAAAGTAATCAACATATTAATATGTTTTTAAAACCACTAATGTTTTTAACAACATTTCTTTAAATTAACATCGACAACAACAAAATACCTAAAAAAAAAAAAAAAACAACAAAAAAAAAAACCCTAAGAAAACTCCACTTAAGTGTTCTTTTTAAAAGTAAAACATTTTATTGGGGCTGGAGTTGTGGCTCAGTGGTAGAGCACTTGCCTAGCATGTGTGAGGCCCTGGGTTCGATTCTCAGCACCGCATTTAAATAAATGACTAAAGATCCATCAACATCTAAAAAAAATATATTTAAAAAAAAAGTAAAACATTTTATTTAAGTAAAACATTTACTAAGCTCACTTGTAGGTTAGTTTCTGTCCTCAAGGAGCTATTAGGAAATAGGCATTTCAACTAGAGATAATAGCACAGGGTAAGAAGAGAACTGAACACAGTGATAAATAAGACACACTCCACTGTCTAGTAGTCTTTTATGGGACATGCCAAATATTGTAAAAGGAAATAATAAAGAAGCAACAGCCATTTAAAATAAAGTGAAGACAATATGGGTATACACACTACTGAACCGTACACTTGAAAATAGTTAAGATTTTTTTTTTTTTTTTTTGGTACCATGGATTGAACCCAGAGGTACTTAACCACTGAGCCACATCTCCAGCCAATTTTTTTGTATTTTATTTAGAGACAGGGTCTTGCTGAGTTGCTTAGGACCTCACTAAGTTGCTAAGGCAAGCTTTGAACTCACAATCTTCCTGCCTCAGCCTTCCGAGCCACTGGGATTACAGGTACATACCTTTGTACCCGGCAAGATGTTTTTGTTTTGCTTTTTATAGTGCTGGGGATCGAACCTAGGGCCTCATGTATGTTAGGCAAGTGCTCTTCAACTAAACTATGTCATGCCTAGCACCAAGATGACAAATTCTGTTGTATGTATTTACTACAATTAGAGAGAGAGAGAGAGATTGAAAAAGAAAGGAGGGGAGGAAAGAGAAAAGTTAAAAACAGAGTATTCAAGAATGAGTATGCCAATTTGCCTTAACTAAGGTGGTGTTAGGTGCTAAATTACGAGAAGACCTAGATAGAAAAGCTGATTCATTTCACATCCAATTAACAATTGAAATAGGACTAACATATCCACCAGGTCAGGTGAACATCATCTTTGGACTTGGAGAATCATTTGAAAGGAAGTGGGGAAAGCAAGAAAATTTCTGGGTTTGGTGGCACATGTCCATAATCCCAGCTACTCAGGAGGCTGGGGTAGGAGGATCACAAATTTGAGACCAGCCTGGGCCATTTAGCTAGACCCTACAATCTTGACATAGTAATTATGTATAGTACAAACATGGTAATCATTTTTTTTTTAATGGTGTTGGGGATTAAACCACTGAGCTACACTACATTCTCTGTCCTTATTAAGTTTTAAAAATTTTTTAGACAGGGTCTTGCTAAGTTGCAGAGGCTGGCCTTGAATTTATGACTCCCTTGCCTAAGCTTCCTGAGTTGCTGGAATTACAGGTGTGCACCTTCAGCTTTCCAAGTAGCTGGAATAACAGGTGTAAACCACCACTCCTGGCTCAAACACAGTAATCTTTTTTTTTGGTACCAGGGATTGCACCTAGAGGGGCTTAACCACTGAGCCACATCCTCAGTCCTTTTTATATTTTATTTAGAGACAGGGTCCTGATAAATTGCTTAGGGCCTTGCTAAATTGCTGAGGCTGGCTTTGAACTTGTGATCCTCCTGCCTCAGCCTCCCAAGTTGCTGGGATTATAGGCATGTATCACCAATGCCTGGCTCATATACCTTGTCATCTGTGACTAAAAGTAAAAAAATATGTCAACATAATTCAATAGATTTTCTTCCCATATAAATTACAAAAGACAAAGATTCTGATCATGATACAAAGACAATTAAAACTTCAATTAATGGTGCCTGCCTATAGTCCCAGCTACTCACAAGGCTGAGGAAGGAGGATGACTTGAGACCAGCGTGGGCAACACAGTGAGACCTCTGTCTCAAACAAAAACAAACAGGGGCTGGGGATACAGCTCAGTAGTACTTTCCTACAATGTGTAAGAGTTTGATCACCAGCACTACAAAAAAACAGACAAAAAAGCCCCCCCCATACAACAAATAAATCTTCAATTCACAAGGCATCCTTGAGACAAAAGTACTTGAGCATTAACATTTTGTTTCCAATACTTACAGTAGAGTTGGCGAAAATTGAATTTGAATTGGCTGCAGAATATCCTGCATTAGTCAAGTCATCGTTACTCTGCAAAGAGGAAATTCAATAAAGAAGTTGCTTCAACTGTGAGAAGGAACAGATTTTTATGTCTATGATGTTCTAGGTAATACTTACAGATTTATTACTAGGTCCATGTAGAAAATAGTTCAATGCTTGTGGGTCTCTAGAAAAGAAAAAAAGAAAGAGGGGAACAACAAATAAACAATTACCTTCACCTTAATTTAAATATAATGAATATATAGCTATATATTTACTAGGGCAAAAGAAAATGACATTAGCCTGAGAAAATCTCCTTATTTTAAGGCCATTTTCTTAGTAATTCTTTGTTTTGTTTTGTTTGTTTATTGGCACCAGGAATTGGACCCTAGGGTGCTTTACCATTGAGCTACATCTGCAGCTCTTTTTACTTCTTTTTTTTTTTTTTTTTTTGAGACACTAAGTTGCTGAAGCTCTTGCTAAGTTGCCAAAGCTGGCCTTGAAGTTGCAATCCTCCTGCCTCAGCCTTTTGCATTGCTGGGATTAAAGATGTGTGACAACACTCCTGGCTAATTTTTTTTAATTTACATTGTTCTAGTTCCAATTATCATTCCTTTCTGCCTCCTAGGATTTTCTTTTCTTTTTTATAGTACTGGGGATCAAACCCTGGGACCTGTGCATGCTCAACATGCGCTCTACCACTGAGCTACACCTGCAGCCTTTCCTCCTGGGATTTGTTAAAAAAAAAAGTTTAGTAAGCAATTACTAAATTATGACCCCCATGTTGATATATCTCTTTCTCTTCTTGCTATAACTATGATGATCATTTAATTTTTATTAAAAAATTGAGCAGGTTTCAATATACTTTTAGGCTGTTTTTGTTCAGTAAATGCCACACATTTAATTCATCCTGAGTTTAAAATAAGCACCTTACCCAATAAGATCAAGGAGACACGAGTCATCATCATCATCCATGACAACTGTAAAGACAGGAAGAGGAAAGCATGTTTCAGTCAAGCAGATTGAAAAGCCAGTGGTATCAGTGCAATGTAAGAAAATACCTTACGCTTTTTTAAATAAATAACTGTGTAATTCATGAGATAGCCCTCTAATTGCTTATTATTAATGAGATTTAAAATTTTTTTGTGGTCTCTGGACATGCTGGTGCATACCTGTAGTACCATCTACTTGGGAGACTGAGGCAGGAGGATCACTTGAGCCCAGGAGATTGAGCCCAGAAATTTGAGGTCAGCCTGTGTAACACAGCAAGACCATGTCTCAAAATAAATAAATAAATAATAATAGTAAGTAAAATAAAATTATGTGGCCATTCAAGAAAATATTGTTTAAATTGTGTTTATTGAAAACAAACCCTCAACTTATAAGTCAAGAAATATTGTGAAAAAAAACAAAGATAGTTGGCAGCAACTTCTCCCTCATGCAGATTCCCCAAAGGGACTATAAACGAAGAACAGTTCATTTCCTCAAATGTAGAATGAACAGGAGAGAAATAGCATTTTTGTTTTAGAAAAGACCTCATAGATTCAGAAGTTTTTCTTTTGGTGACTGGATGTTTCTAAACATGGAGAGCAATCTGGATTTCTTGCCATATTTTGGCTATCTTTAGGAATTAAAAAAGTGGGTTCTCTGCATTTTAAGACAGAAGAGGAGGCCCTCTGGCCGCAGGCTTTGCTATGGGCTCTGGCCTGCAAGGCTGGGGTTCTTCCCCCTGCAGAGGCACTGCCACTGTTTGATTCCAAACAATCCATATCCCAATACTAGAATGTTTAAAGTAGAAAATCTTAACCAGAAGTTCAACCCCACTCCAGGATCTGACTCCCTTTCTCCCCCACCAGCGGCAGCTTCAGGCTCAGCCAGCACAACGACTGTGCTCTGGCTGAAACCATAACAACTATACAAATTCCAAGAGCAGTTCTCTCCCGAGATCTAGTCAACTTACACTAGTGATCCGACACCTGGCAACACTGCTTCGCACCCATTTTGAACCATGCGTGGAATAATTTACATCACGGAATGCCAGGGCCAAGGGTTCTGGAGCAGTTGGAAAGGGCAGTTGTGAACGGCAGTTGGACAGTGGAATGAAATCCTGAAGAGATGCCCAGAAGAGGGACACACCCGAAGAAGGCAGAAGAGATAATCTCTACTAAATGTTTTTTTCACTGTTGAAATTGCCATCTCCTCTCCAATTCCCCCCAATTTGCCATTCTGTCAGTCACAAGGCCAAACAAATACAAAATTCATTCCTGTCACATGGAAGGGCACTCAGGAAGAGTCTGGAAGGGTAAGTCCTCCCAATGTGGAACCTTCCCATTGGTGGATGAATCTGTGCAGTTGTTGGGTGATCTGGGTGATTACAATCCATCTGAGATAGAACGCAGTGGAGAGCAGAAATGATGGGTGAGAAAGGAGGAAGAAAAAGTGGGAAAAGTTTGCCAAAAGGTGACATCTATAGCTGAAACTAAGAAGAGCAGCCAGCTAAGTGAAATCTGCTCTTTAGGACCCAGACCGAGTTACTCACAGGCATGCTGGCATGAATGTACTAGCACAGTGTGAGTTTTGAGCAGTAAAATGGGACTGGAAGGGAAATCAGGAAAGCTATCATCAAATGGATATAGAAAAATCTGTGTGAAGGGCTCCCCTTAAATCCTGAAGATATTTACTGTGGTAGAACCATGTTAGCTAGAGTTTAGTATTACTATCCCAGGGGCCTGCTCTGCAGACATCACAATCGCATGGAATAAATCAGTCAATTGTGATGTCTAGTTAAACCTATAAAGTGGATATTATTTCTTTACTTCATCGTGAACATTAAAAAGGAGTTCTAGTGTGTCCTTCCTAAGTTTATTTTTTTAAATGTCTGGGCTGGGGATTTAGTTTAGCAGTATGGCACATCTGAACATGTGGGAGGCCCTGGGGTTTGATCCCCAGCTCCATAAAAAATAAACAAGCAAATAAAATATCTAACAGTCTCTGATACAAACTAATTAGTAAAAAAAATAAGTAAAGAAAGATCCTACACCAAAGAAAATCACTTATACAACTCTTTCAGCTTCCCTCCCTACTTGGTGCCCTTTCCCTATTTCTGATACTCCGAGAAAGGAGGTCAGCAAAGGCCACAGAGGCGTCACTGCCACGAGGACTTGCAAGCGTACAGAATGTTTGCTGTGCCAAAATTCAAAGTGAAAGCTACTCCTTAAATAATCTAAATAAAATAATTTTATAATATTGGATTAAATTAAAGCCACATGCATCATTCTCTATCAAACCAAGGAGGCTGCTCAAACACTTGACTTAAAAGAGCCTCCCTGAGGATATCCAGCCTATGAGTGCATTGGGGACCCTACCAGGCAGGCGGCCTCCTCAGTCCCCTGCAGATAGAACTCTTAAGAGTCTTCACAGTCAAGGGCACCCTGAGAATTCTACTTTTTAAAGGAGCACACTCTTTTCTGTCTTTAAACAGTTTCAAATTACAGGAGATGGACCTTAACCCTGCATCCCTGGCTTTAAATTGTGCCGAAATGCAGTCTAATCCTTTCCGCAGAATGATACATGGCTCATTAAAGTAAAATTATAAAATTTGACTACAGTTCTAGCTGGGTGCAGTGGTGTATGCTTATAATCCCAGCAGCTTGGGAGGCTGAGAAAGGAGGATCACGAGTTCAAAGCCAGCCTCAGCAAAAGTGAGGCATTAAGCAACTCAATGAGACCCCGTCTCTAAATAAAATACAATGAGCTGGGGATGTGGCTCAGTGGTCAAGTGTCCTTGAGTTCAATCCTAGGTATCACCAAAAAAAAAAAAAAGAAAAAGAAAAAAGACTACAATTCTAAAATGGAAAGACAATTCCAGGATCAGACTAAAAAAGGAGGAGTTTCTTTGGATTTTCACTCAATTCTGAATTCTAATTAAGGCTCTATTTTTTTTTTCATTCAAGTAATAAGCCTGGAGTCACTGGATAGATGTATGACACCAGGTGAGTTTTCTACAGCTTTGTGAAAGATGGTCCTTGTCCAAGGAGAGACTCCCTAGATCAATGGTTGGAAACTATTTCTTGGCAACAGCTATCACCAAGCCACAGTCACTCAGAAACAGCAGCTCTTGACAGCAAGGTTTGTCAGGGAGGGAAGGGGAATAGGTCACCCTGCAAGTTCAGAATCACTACCATGGACACTGGAAACATCCTTGAATATATTAAAACTAATATTTAAAATTATTCTTAATAGAATCAATAAATATCTTGAATAATAGCTTTTAATCAAGAGGATACAGTGTAAAAGTGATGTTTCAAAACAGTGGAGAAATGGCAATCATATGGAAAATATGTGGACCCATACCTCACACCTTACACAAAAATAAATTCCAAATGGATCTAAGAGTTAAATGAGGGAGTGAGGGAGAGAGAAGCTTAAAGTGCTAAAATAACACATGGGAGAATTAAAGAAAAAAATCTTGGCACAGGGAAGTCCAAGTATGTCACATAATACAGAAGTCACAAAAAATTGACAAATTTCATGCCAAGAATTTTAAAATTCTGCACAATAGTCTGGCATAGTGATGCATACCTGCAATCCTAGTGACTTGGAAGGCTGAGGCAGAAGGATTGCAAGTTCAAGGCCAGCCTCTGCAACTTAGTGAGACCCAGTCTCAAAAATAAAAAATATAGGGGGCTGGGGTATAGCTCAGTGGCAGAGCACTTCTGGATTCAATCCCCAGAACTGCAAAAACAAAACAAAGCAAAACAAAGAATACTCTGTATCAGCCTTTTTTTTTTTTTTTTTTTTTTTAAGCTGGGGATTGAACACAAGAGTGCTTTACCACTGAACTATATCCCTGGTTCTTTCTTTTTAATATTTATTTTTTAGTTGTAGTGGGACACAATACCTTTATCTTATTTATTTATTTTTATGTGGTGCTGAGGATAGAACCCAGGGCCTTGCATGTGCTAGGCAAGCACTCTACCGCTGAGCCACAACACAGCACCACCCCCCACCCCATTCTTTTTATTTTAAGACAGGTTCTTACTAAGTTGCTGAGTGTCTCACTATGTTGCTAAGGCTGACATCAAACTTGCATCCTCCTGTTCAGTCTCCCAAGTCACTGGGATTACAGGTATACACCAATACGCATGGTGTATACCTTACACCCGCTTTGTAAGGAAATATCTTAAAAACAATTTTATTTTCACTAGGGTCAGGAAGAATATCAAAGAGTTCTCACGAAGAGATATGAAGAAAAATGACAGACTATTTAAATTCTTTTCACATGAAGGAAAGCTCTAGTAACAAGAAACCTATTGGTATCAGGAAGATGTATTTCAGCAAAGCCAGCTGAGCTCTGGTTCTTTAAGATGCTCTAAGATAGTGGCAATGGGAAAAAACTAAGCTTGACTTTTGAGAGCCAGAAAACAGGATTTCAAATCCTTCACAAACTGAACTTTGGCATGTGAGCACTAGTTTAGTGTTTTCTTGACTTCTTATTCTTCCAAAAATATGGCATACTGAAGATGATGGCCAAGAAACTGAAATTTTAAAAGGCTATCAAGGACTTACTAAAGTATAAAAAATGACTGACATTTTCTTTATCTGAATTAATTATGGTACAGCTTCAGTACATGACATAATTTCCCAGTCACAAATTCACCTCTAAAAGGTGTTCAAGGGTAGCAGAGAATCACATTGGGACTTTAAGGAATCATGAACTAGGAATGATTACAGTCTTCAGAATGTTTTTTTCTAGCTATAGTCATTTTTATTTTTATCCACATACATACCATTTCTAGTGTTCTTTATTTCTTTGAGTAAACTCAGGTTTCATCTGGCATTATTTTCCTTCTCCTAAAGGATTTTCTTTATTATTATTATTATCATTATTATTTTGGACTGGAAATTGAACTCGGGGGTACTTGACTACTGAGCCACATCCCCAGTCCTATTTTGTATTTTATTTAGAGACAGAGTCTCACTGAGTTGCTTAGCAACTCACCATTGCTGAGGCTGGCTTTGAACTCTCAATCCTCCTGCCTCAGCCTCCTGAGGTTCTTTTTTTTTTTAATATTTATTTTTTGGTGTAGATGGACACAACACTTGCATTTTATTTTTATGTGGTGCTGAGGATCAAACCTGGGTCCCGCCCATGCTAGGTGAGCGCTCTACCGCTGAGCACAATCCCAGCCCAGCCCCCTCCTGAGGTTCTTTTTATTTTTATAGCAGGTCTTCCAGTGATAAATACTTTTTACTAGAGATTGAATCCAGCAGTGTTTTACCACTGAGCTACATCTCCAGTTACCTGGCACCTTATTTTTTGGAGACAGTGTTTTGCTAATATTGGCTTTGAACTTGCAATCCTTCTCCCTCAGCCTCCCAAATAACTGAGAATACAGACATGTGCCACCATGCCCAGCACTTTCATGTCTTTAAAAAGTATTTATTATGCCTTAAAAATCAAATAGTTATTTTTTGCAGTGATGAGGATTAAACCCAGGGCCTCACACACGGTAGGCAAGTATTCTGCCACTGAGTTACAACCCAACTCAATTATTATTATTGTTATTATTATTATTATATTTTATTTTACAGTCCTAGGGACTGAACCCAGGGATACTCTACTACTGATCTACATCCCCAGCCTTTTTTTAAAAAAAAAAATTATTTTATATCTGTATTGACATTTAAAAAAAAATAAATACCCCAGCCCTTCTTATTTTTTATTTGAAGACAGTGTTTCACTCAGTTGCCAAGGCTGGCTTCCAATTTGCAATTACGCTGCCTGAGCTACCACTCACCGGGATTATAGAAGTGCACCACTGTGTCTGGCTCCTACCTTTATCTTTGAAATATATTTTCACTGGGCATATTGTTCAAGATTAGACGCCCCCCCCCATTTTTAAAGGTATTGCTGCATTGTTACTCATTATTTCCAAAGAGAAATCTGTTTTCTTTCTTTTATTCATAATATCTTTTCCATTTGAATTCTGTAATTTTATCTTTACCACTAGTTTTAGGCTATATGATTATAATATGCCTTGATATAGTTTTCTTCATACTTCTGTGCTTGGGGTTCATTAGGCATATAGGATGCAGGTTTCTAGTTTTCCTTCAATTTAGAAAAATCTCAGTTATAATGTTTTCAAATATTTTATGCTCCTCCCTCTCCTTCTGAGAACCCAATTATAAGTGCATTATTAGGCTGCTAATTGGTGTGCATGTGTATTTCTTTTTTGGGGGTAGGGAGGTTTCAGTCTTTTTATCTCTCTGGTTTTCATTTGGATAGAATCTATTGCTGTATCTTCAAGCTTACTATTCTCTTCTGTAGCGTCTAATTTGCTTTTAATTGGTAATCCCGCCAGTGTGTTATTTTCAAACACTATTTTCATCTCTAGAGTTCAATTTAGGTCTTTTTTATATCTTTCATGTCTTCATTTAATATCCCTATGTTTCCTTATCACTATTTTGTATAAGCTGGAAAAGGTTAACATTTTAATGCTTCCTCTGTCATTGTTGGGCCTTTATTCATTTTTTTCCCACTCTTCATTATGAGTGATATTTTTCTGGTCATTTTTCATTGGATGCCAGACATTTCCTTCTTTTGGGGTGTGTATATGTGTGGGGAGAATGGGGTTTTGCTAAGTTTGCCCAAGCTGGCCTCAAACTCCTAGGCTCAAG